CAGGGTACATTGAAGGTGACCCTCATTTACAGTGTAACTGAGCATCATACAAAAAACAAGGGACTGAAAAGAATAGATTTATGATATTAAAAGCATAGCAGTATTTTATGTAGTATGGTATTAAAAGTACAGCACAGTTTTAATAATTATTAAAACAGTATATAAAAATATTAAAACAGGATATAGGAGAAATATATTGGTGACATCTTGTATAAATAAATATAATGTGTGGCAATGACTTGTTAAGACATGGGAACAAGCTAAGTAAGTTGTGGCCATGACTTAGTAAGGCATGGGAATGAGATCTTAATGCATGGCCACAACTTAGTAAGACGTGGAAATGAGATCCTAATGCATGGCCATGACTTAGTTAGGCATGGGAACAAGATAATTAGGTTATGACCATGGCTAAGTAAGGCATGGGAATGAGATCCTCATGCGTGTCCACAGCTTAATAAGGCATGGGAGCAAGATAATTAAGTTGTGGCCGTGACTTAGTAAGGCATGGGAATGAGATCCTAATGCGTGGCCACAACTTAGTAAGACATGGGAACAAGATAATTAAGTTGTGGCCACAGCTTAGTAAGGCGTGGGAACGAGATCCTAATGCATGGCCACAACTTAGTAAGATGTGGGAATGAGATCCTAATGTGTGGCCACGACTTAGTAATTTTTGATCTCATTCCCACGCCTTATTAAGTCGTTGCCACGCATTAGAGTCTTGTTTCCCTGCGTTAATAAGGCGTGGCCATGCATTATTTTTATTTACATGGGATGTCACCTGCAGAGCTCTGTAAAAATAGGGAAGTTTAAGAGAAATAACAATAATGGTAAAACTAAACTTGAAGGGTGTCTACATAACATTTATAACATCTAACAAACACTTCATAACATTCATGAATGTTTAAATCAGCAGTCATAAAGCATACATGTTTTATATGATATTGATATGGACTACTATGTCTTTTTCCTGGGAGACATTTTTCAAAATAAAAGTCCTCTCTTTGAAAAACTATAATATTTTCAGCAAAAGGCCTCATTTCTGGACAGCCAAATTAAAAATGACCTGCTGTATCCCTTTGGTCATTAAGTGCTTTGACACATTTTGCCTATACTTTTAACTTCTTTTTAATTATTTGTTTCTTTTTTAACATTTGTATTTTGTACTTTATTATTATTTCCCCTCAGTATTCTGTCTTCTTTAAAATTCTGGTTTCTTAAGAATGAAGTCTTTCAAATTAGAACACTCTGAATGACTTTTTTTTTTACATCTTAATGACTTATGTAAAACTTTGAATAGTTGGTGTAATTCCCCTTTAAAAGCACAGTCACAAAAACAGCCTGTTTAATTCTAAGGGATAAAGACAGGTTGAAAAAGGGTCATGTAGAAATAGAATAGGGCTTTTTTTAGCACATAAACCCACACAAATGTCATAAATGAGCATCAGGGGAAATCTGAAGTGCAGGAAAATGGTAGGATCTGGGCTCTTTAAAGAGTGGATAAGAGATTTATCCACGCATGCCCAAAGTGGCAGGTTCCAGCAGCCGTTTTGTTGACTGGACAGGTTTTTCTCTGATCTGAGGGAAGATGGGCAGATGTGGTGCATTTTTTTTAGCCTATTGATCTGATCTGAGCTCTCCCAGTGAGCTTCCCCAAACGGCGGTGAAAAAGAGAGAGCGGCCCTCAGTCGATATGTTTGTCAGAGCAGGCGGAGAATATGAGGCCTCCCAAAGACTGCGAATCCCTTCACCACGTTATGGATTATTCTTTGTCTGAGACGCTGCCGTCTCTGATACTCTTTTTGTCATTGACGGGGCCCATCGAGACGCCTTAAAAATAGCCAGGCTTCTGTTTGTTTGTCTCAGCGCGTCTACAGTATGCTCTGGAACTGTTGTCTTGGCCGAGCCGAGGCACAGTCCTTCCTCATTAATGCGATCTCGGGCGTTTTTCTGCCTTTCTTTCAAGTCCAGTCACAATCTAAAGTGAAGTGTTTATGGCTCTTTGCTCCAACAAGTCAGGGACTTTTTCTTCTTTTTCTTGATGGAAAACGGAAAATAAACTGTAAATAAACTGTAGTTTAAAGGCTGTGAAAAAGTATTCACCCCCGATGTCCTCTATTTTTGCCTATTTGTCAAGATGGTTTTTAGATCCTTATACAAAATGTTATATAAAACAACGAGAACATGAGAAACACAAAACACCTTTTGTGAAAAAGTAATTGCACCCTAAACTTAACAGCAGGTTGCACCCAATGTGCAAAATACCCCCTGGTATTTGGGGGGGGGGTCCCATGTTGTCTTGCTAATCCAGCGTTGGCTGGCTGCTCATGTGCCATAGCGGTGCTGAGGCTTCAGTGACAACAAAATGTTTGGTTTAATAATTCTATATTCTGGAAATGCTCTTTTCCAGTTTGGTTACGTGCTCTTCCACACGTTATTGGGGTCTTACACATCATCTTTTTCGTCTTTGGTTTGAGAAATGAGTAACAATTCACTCTTTACACCAATATCTCTGGAAAATTGGAGAAATGTTCAGATTTACAAATATTCTAAAGCATATTGTAAAGTTTTTCAGAGGCATCCCAGGCATAGTTATAGTTGTAGGCTTTGAAGGACCAACTGGATGAGTCATTTTGCAACAGCAAATAGTAGGTGAACAGTAGGTGAAGCAGCTACACTATGACAACATAATGTCATAAGTTTATTTCCAGGGATCCCTGATTTTGGGACATTCAGAGGTTAATCAGGGGATCCTGGACCCCCCCCAGGACACCCTACATCACGCACCTGGGTTTTGCCATCTTTAGCAGCAACAACTGCAACTAAGCACTTGTAATGAATGTAGGTCATTCTTTTATATTGCCTTGGATGAATTTTGGCCCACTCTTCTTGGCAGATTTGCTTTAATTCAGCCACTCTGGAGGGCTTTGGAGTATGAACTTTCCATTTAAGGTCCTGCCACAACATCAAAATTATGTTCAAGTCACAACTTTGACTCAGCCAGTCCAAAACATTAATTTAGCTTCTTTTGAGCTGTTCTGAGGTGAACTTGCTCTTGTACTCAGATTGTTGTTTTGCCATGTAACCCAATTGCGCTTGAGCTTCAGATCACGGACTGATGACCAGATATTCTCCTGCAGGATGTTCTGATAGAAAACAGAATTCATGGTTCGATCAGTTATGGCAGGTAACCCAGGCCCTGGAGCAGCAAAGCATTCCCACACCACCACACTACCACCACCAGGGGGGCACTTACTTTTCCACATAGGGCCAGCTGGTGTTGGATAACTTTTTTCTTTCAATAACTGATGTGATTGTTTAAAAAGTATATTTTGTGCTTTTATTTTTAATTTAAAACAAAAATCAGTAGGAGGGTAAATACTTTTGCACATTTGATATACTGCTTGATATACTGTGTAAACACTATTAATTATTTGTCATGGTTGTGATGTCACAACCATGAACACGTTTCCATATGTCCACCCATTCAGCCAACAGCAGTTTAATAATAAGTAATAGGAACAAAGATGTTTTGAATTAAAATGGTGACTATCGAATAAAAATGTACATTAAAACTTGAACACATTGAGGTGGATACATGCTTTGTGGATAAAAAGAAATGCGATAAATTACAAAGGAAATGCGATTGTAAAATAAACAATGCAAATGCAAATAGAACGAAGTCATATGATTGATCACGTTTGTGCTTTTGTCCAGCAGTAGTTCATTGAAAAAGCAGTGTAGGCTGAAACGCTCCTTATAATTTCAGTGCAAATGGACGGGACTAAACTGCTGTTCGCTGAATAGGCGGATATGTGTAAATGTATTGGTTTTTGTGACCTCACAAAGAATTATTTTAAAATTGAGCTGTTCTTGCAGCTTAGTTTCCTTATATAGACTGTATGGAGTGGGGAGTGAATGATATGTAATGAGATTTTATCTGGGTTATATACTAAAATAGGCTATTATATAAAAAAAAAAACGAGGGGAATTTAGTTTTCCATGATATGGGCCCTTTAAAGAAATAACATAACAGTGTCAAAACAATAGTAAAGGATAGTTCCTGTGACTGAGGTTACATTTATCAGTGCATTTTGTTTCTGTGCTCTTGTTGTATAAACTATAGCTATACAATTAAACAAAGTACAGCGAGAAGCTGCTCAACAACAATGATTTCTCTGTCCATATCTCTGAGAAGTGTCTCTCTTGTAGAGCCGATGGAAATGCTGCAACTGATTTTTTTTTTTAGTTATTTGCTTGAAAATGTGACAGGTAGATGGAAACCCGGCTACTGTTACTGTCTCTCTCTAAATTTTTGTGTTGTTGAATCTGAACAACAATATTTTAGTAGTTTAACTTTATTGGCATGTGTTAAATCTCTCTCTCTCTCTCTCTCTCTCTCCTTCTTTCTCCCTTTCTCCCTTTATCTTTCTATCTCTCTTGTTCTTTCTCGTTCTTTTTTTTCTCTGCTTCTTCTCTCTCTCCCTCCCTCTTTCTCTCTCTTGCTCCTTTTCTCTTTCTTTTTTCTCTGTTCTCTCTCTTTCTCTTTCCCTCTTTCTCTCTTTCTCTCTCTCTCCCTCCCTCCCTCTCTCTCTTTCTCCCTCTCTCTCCCCCCTCTTGCTCGCTCTTTTTCTCTCTTTTTTCTCACTTTCTTCTCTCTCTCTCTTTCTCGTTCTCTCTCCCTCTTTCTCTTTCTCCCTCTCTCCCTTTCTCTCCCTCTTTTCTTTCTTTTTCTCTCTGCCTCTCTCTCTCTCGCACTTTGTCTTTCTTTTCTCTCTCTCGCTCTGTCCGTCTTTCTTTTCTCTCTCTCTCTTTCTCTCCCTCCCTCTTTCTCTCTCTCTCTTTCTCTCTCTCCCTTTTCTCTCACTCTTTTCTTTCTTTTTCTCTTTCTTTTCTCTCTCTTTTTCTCTCTGTCCTTCTTTCTCTTTCTCTCACTCTCTCTCCCTCTTTCTCTCTTTCTCTCTCCTTCTCCCCCTCCCCTCTTTCTCTCTCTCTCTCAGAGCTATGGCTACAATCCGCTTTGGGCAGCATGTCATAAAGGCCACGTCTGTGTTCCTGCAAACAGAACTGTCCTTTGCTCTGGTCAACCGGAAGCCTGTGGTTCCTGGTCGTATCCTTTTAATGACCCCACCATTTCCTGACATGTTAGTGACCAGATGAGAGACAGTGTTCAAGAACAGGTAGGATGATAATCTCTCTCTCTCTCTCGCTCTCTCTCTCTCTCTCCCTCTCTTATATACACACAGACAAACATGCGGTATCTGTCTCCCTGTCTGTCTGGCCCCCTCTGTTTGCTCAGGAGCATGGTGTGCTCAGCAGAGCGGCGTTGTGGTTGCCCGCCGTTGCTCAGCAACAGTTTGCTCTTGGTTAAGTTTGGGTTGACCTTCAGGTAGGGCCACATAAACAGATGTTTACAGCATGACCCCATAGGAGAGAAGTTCTTGGGGAAAAAAAGGAAGCATTGAACTAGAAAAATACAGCAGAACGAGGCGTCTGATTGGTTAAAAGTTCTGTTTCTCCTGCCTTTGACAACTCAAACCCGAACGCCCTGCAAGTATTGGCAGCAAACTGAAAGAAAAGTAAAGAAAAGCGCTCTGAATCATCATCAGTTGTACCTTCACCTCTCGCAATTCACTTTCTTTTCCGAAACAGAATATTTTTTTTTTCTTCCAGTTTTGTCTATTAATCTTATTGCTTAGCGTGCGAACACAAGCCTTCGCATATATTTGCATGATTTCCATCGCTGATTTGTTTGAATAATGCGCTCACTCTCTTTTTGGAATGATAATAAGTCCTTGGCTTTGTACGAACGATCTTCAAGTGCTGTTCTGGCTTACGTAACCCCTCCATGTTTAGATTAAGTGCATATGGAAATAGATTTCTCACTGTATTACAGGGCATCGCTGCGCACTCCTAAAGGCTTGAGAGGGAGCAGTGTTCTGCAGCAATAAGGAATACATTAGCATCCTTTAATCACAACTGTGGGGAGCTGAGTTCGAGAATAATGCTGGCTTGAGAAGTCTTTTGGCAAAATTCATGATCATTTGGGAGCTAAAGGTCACGAACGCATGTGCCGGTGCTGGATGTACATCAGCAAGTGTGTGATATATGATGAAGTTATATGGAGGGAAAGTTTGCAAACTTCTACAAAGTTCTGTTGGAGAAAGAAATGAATAAAAGTGTAGGAGTGGGTGCATATCAGCTTAACTCACACGTAGTTTCTGCTCATCACTAACATGTAGTCAGGGGTTGGGTGGTAGAGGATGGCCAGGTTTCGTGGAGGAGGCCTAGTTTTTTTTTTTGTTTTTGTTTTATTTTTTATTTTCTTTGTGAATCGAAAGCAAATAACATTGAAATAGCCCTTAAAAATGACCTTCACGTTCAGACATTTTAAATCGACCAATAAATACTTCAATAAGGTTCATTTCCAGCATTAAAAATAACAAGACACTTATGAAAACAACTGCCATTGCAAATGGAAATGCTAAACTACCTCATATAAGATGTTATTTATGCCAGGGGTTCTAAACCTTTTCCAACCCAAGGCTCACCTTTGTATAACTACAAAGCATAGCGGCCCACGGGAAAACTAAAATCAGCTTTTTTGAATACACCTTTATTTGCCTTTTCTTAAATGCTGACACTGAAGAACAAGGGCCTGAAAAAGATCAGATCGGCCATTCTGGTTGTCAGTAGGTTTGCAATATTTGCAGGTATGTTTACAAAAAAACACAAAACTTGTTTTGGTGATGTTACAAAACATGGTTGTGGTGATGTTACAAAAAGAGGAAAAAAGAAAAAAGAATAAAAATGTACAGTGTAGATGTGGAGTGTGATTTAAAGCTTCAGTCTATCGCGTTTTCACTGAAAATACTCCACTGGCTTCCCCAAAGAGTAACTGTTTGTTCTCGAGGTGTCTCTTCAGGTTTGAGGGTTTTTGTTATTCATTTGAAATAGCCAAACCTCACCTCATTCACTGGACTCTTGGATTAGCATCATCACAACCAACAATAATGATAAATCTTACTTGATGGCTGCTTCCTTGTCATTGGTTTATCAGTTTGAGTTTAACCACTCAGGTCGCTGATGATTGGCCACATATACGCTCCGCGATCCATGAGTTGAACTCAAACGCATCTCTTCTCTATTATTTGGTGGCTCGTCTATTGTTTTTAACAGCAGCTTGTGCTCAGCGTCTAAAGAGTCACAGTTGTTGTGCTGACTCTACAGCGCCGTCGTGCCTCTAGAAGAGAAGGACAGCCAGCTCTGTTGATGAATTCCCTCGTTTGATCACAGACCGTGTTTCCATCAGCAGTGAACCATACAGGGTACGGTTTGAACTGGACTGAGACCCGCAGTTTTTGCTGGACCGGTTCAGCTGTTTCATGCAGACCCAAATACGGGTGAAGTGTTCACACATGTCAAAATGGAGCGAACTAAAGAAAAAGGTTTGATAAATCCACACCAAACAAAGCGCCCTGAGACGCTTCTCCATCTCTGGCAAGCTGTCTGCATCGCATGTCTGCAGCTGCGTTGTTTCAGACTGATGACGTTTAATTAGCCCACTACTCAATGTTTTTATTTGTACATCTCTATTAATATTTATATTGGTTACAATGTGAAAAATGTTTATTCTTAGGTTTTTAATTATTAAGTTAATCTTTTTTCTGCTTATCTTTTTATAACTTACAGTGACGTTATCAGCCCGAATTACTGCCTCCCTCTGATTACAAGCCCACTGACCACTAGAGGGTGTTTCACGGCCCACTGATGGTCCACAGCCCACAGGTTAAGAAACCTTGATCTAGACTGTCAAGCTTGTCAGTGTCCAGTATGTTTGACCTTAGTTAGAAACCTAGCTGGCTCACAATGAACGGCTAATAACAGGTTAGTTAGCTCAGTATCAGTGCTTACATTTGAGTCACGTTAACTAACATGCTAAGTTATCATAGACATTGTAAACTGAGAACACTGACTGAAATTTTCGAACTGCATAAATTGCCATGACTAATAATTTTTGTTTTATATACAGTAGTTATTCTACAACTTATTCAAAGCAGATTTCAATACTCCAAACTAGACAGTAAAAGGTGCTTTTAGATGTCATCTTTAATATTTTAAGTATTTTTGCAAAAATTGTAAAATGTATAGAATTTTTTTATCAAGTTATCTGCCTTGAGAAGGAATAGCCACTTCTGACCTTATGGATATTAAATCTATTATTAATTCATCCAGTCATTTTAGAAATATCTACAGCTCTGTTCATTATTCTGGGCAATCTAACATTTATTTATTTATTTAAAGGTTGCTAGAATTTATCTACAATCATACATTTTTGCACAAATTGCACAGAACTAGCTTATTAAGATAAATTTATCAATTTTATTTCTAGTTTTATGTAAATGAACAGAGTGATTCCCAACTTTTGAATAGTAATGATGCTGCTGGTCATGAGCAACATGTCACTAAAACACAGCATCATGGAAGCTTTGCACTTTGCAGATCGTGTTGCACTGCTTCTGGCAGAGCTAAATGACAAGCAGTTTAAAACTAAACGCATGCAGAAATGAGAACTAGCCAATAGAATACAACCACATTCCTAAAAAAAGTAGCGATGGACGATACCAAACCACCAGCATTTACAGTTAGCTTCAGTAAAGGGGCACCCATGTTGGCCAATCAAAATTTTGGGATTGCCGGTACCACCTCAGCCACCCCCACCCAAATCATGCCACTGGTCTCCATGCTGTTCTAGTTATTGTCTTCATGCTAATTCACTGGCAACTCTATGTATTAGTAAAGCTGTGTCTACCTACTGTTTCAGTAATCCAGCAGGTCCAGTTTTTCTATGAGTCTCCATGTTGTTTCATCTCCATGTGCTGCTCTAAGTAGGGGTATAACTGCACTGTTGCCAGATGGCCAGCACCATGTTGTTTCAGTGCTAATTCAGTGGTGGCTAGCTAATATCTGGAGAAAGCTATTGTATCAGTTTCAGTAGTCCCTTATGTATGAGTGGATACCAGGTAACCTCCTGCTATCTCAGGAGGTGCTGCATGTATGAGTAGAACTGAACAGTTTCCATGCTTTTTTTTTTGGCCTTGTTGTGATACCTGCACTTGGCTTAGCGTGTAGCGGCTCTGATGAAATCCGCCTCTTTGTTTACGTACCTGCACCGAGAGCAGTTTGGAATTGGAGACGTCACGCGGCAAAGATCTTAGTGCCCTTGGCAGCTGTCAAACAGCAGGATAGCTCCTGAAGAACAGGCTCAGGGGCAGAGGGAGGGAGTTCCTCAGGGAGGAGAGAAAATCTGACCGGCTTTGGACAGCACAGTTTGAGTTGGTTTTAGTGCATCTCAACAGAGTCCGAGCCCATAGTGACTGCTGGAAATGTTGGTTAGAGTCTAATTCCCTTTCTGCTTAGCCTGCTTAGTCTACTTCTCTTTTTTCAGTCTCTGTCATTCATATATATATATATATATATATATATATATATATATATGAATGACAGAATATATATATACATATATATATATATACACACACACACACACACACACATATTCTCCTTTCTTTTCTTATCTTGGCTACAGTCCAATAAAAAAGTGAACACCCCTGGTGAAATTACATAGAACATAAAATATAAACATAGGCCGCAGTTTATTATTTTTTATTTTTTCCAGAATGTTAATGGGCTAATGGGTTAATTCATTAAAATGTGCAGAAGTGTGTCTCTGTACAGGATGTGCTACTTTTTTTTTCCACCTAGAAAAGCATCAAAACACTTTTTTATTTCAATGGATAATTGCCTTTCAGTGTAAATAACTGAGCTCACGTTTTTAAATATTATATACTTTTCACATAATTTTATCTCTTTAAATAAAAATTGTGAACGAGAAACTTGAAGATAGCTCACCTAATGCAAGATTTGAAGTGGGATAAAAACACTGATGCAAACATAAAGGATTATTGCATTTACTGGCATATACCACGGCTTATGACAGCAATATAAGCAGTTTGTACAATAAGCACTTTCAGTGTCTTTCGGCCAGCAGCAAAAAGATGATAACTTACTACTATCTACTGTCTTGTTAAAAATGGCGATACTTCAAGA